TCAGACTTCATCCTCTTGTGAGTCTTGTTCCTTGATCTAGACCTCGATGCCAGTCTCTTCCTCAGATATCCACGCGGTGATATCTCCAACGTAGTTGTTGTCGACCCTCGGATAAGGGGCCTCCCTCTTTCCTTGAACGTCGTATCTTCGATTGGGGGTTCGAAAGCGTCTTTCTGATGGCGGAGAACCTTCATCCTTGATACAGCACTGCTAATGTCTCTCTCTGTGGGACTCAGGCTGACAGAACGGTCCAAGTCCTTGTGAATGATGCTGTGAGACCTGGGACGAAGAGCGTTCAACCTCTCAATGGCACCAGCAATGTCCCTCTCTGTTGGACTGGGGCTGTTATGCCGCAAATGCCAGGTGATCTCTGGTTCAGCATCATAATTATCATCGAAATCTCCATGAGGACTACAACCTGCAGCGGCGTGTAGGAACTCTCCGGGCTGTGAGCTTTTCAAGCTCTTGGTGGCATTGAAAGCAAGCTTGCTTTGACTAAGTCCATTTCTCTTGCGATCCCCAACGCTTGGTTGTCCTTGAGCACCTCGGGGCCGGTTACTTCGAGCAGAGCTTCGTTCTTGTCTACCGACCTCTGCACGAGCAGGTACACGAAATGGCTTGTGCAGAGGACTCGAAGAAGACGGAGGAGTTCCAAAGAAATTGTCTTGGCCACGAATCGTAGATGGATGTGGTGTTTGTGCGCGGCGCCGGTGTAAACCCAAATCCCTTGCAATATCGTCTGGAAGATCATCGAATGCGTGTCTCAGTCCGGGTCGCTGGAATTGCTCTTCATCTCCGAGAATTCGCGGCACGCCTATGTGGCTTGGGTCCTGCGGAAAACCATGTGGGGCGTCGAGCGTTCTCAACCTGGACGACTCGAAGTCATCTGTCTCATGTGCATGTTCCCTCTGCATAGCAAGTGCCTGGTGGCGTTGAGAAAGTTGACCAAGGGCATTTTCTCGGTCTTCGGGAACCAGCTTGGTCATGCTCTCCGTCTCATGCACGACATTCTCAACGTTGGGGATGTGAGTCGACTCTTTGAGGACCGGGGCAGTGGTATTGTCTTCACTCTGCTCAATGTCGGCCGAATTTTTCGAATGATCGCTATGAATCCCTCCACTTTTCTTCGCTGCTTTTTTGGCTAGAGACCACGGGTTTGGCTTCTCCCACTGGCTTTGCTCCATTCTCTGCGTACTCAGGAGCTCGGAAATGTCTGAGAGCAGCGGATTAAGAAACATTTCTCGTGTATCTTCCACCGGGCTCGCAGTGTTACTTCTTGCCATGTCGACGTCCCAACTCGACCGGAGGAAAGACTGAGTCAGCCCAGAATCACTAGAGGATTCTAGAGAATCTTGCCGTGATATCTGTGCCTCGCTGCTGTTGGTTTGAGACGTCTTCTCATTGGCCAAGGATAGAGTGTCATCCGCTAGGTGAGTGGTATATTTCAAGGCACTTCTGTCTGGATGGTCATGATAGCCGCCTGCTTTGTTGGCAAACGCGGCAGAACTTCCAACCGCAAAAGTCCTATCTGAAGGGGGACTTGCGAGCTGTCTGTTAATTACATGGCTGGCCTTCTCAGCGGGTGTGGCCTCTAGGTTGTACAGATGTCCTGATAGCCGTCTCTGAATTAGCAACCATACTTCTTTGTCATTGTGTGAGATTAATTCCATACCACCCTGGCGAGAGCTTGATGACTCAACTACAACATTTTGCTTGGGTATGTCCGCCTGACCATCGCAGTTCTGATACAAATCCTGGCACATGTCTTCGAACAACTCCAAAAGCTTCGGCTCGTTCGCAAAGAGAGCCTCGTCTTTGTTCCTGGCCACGTTCGGGTCGTAGCTGCCAAGTATACACTCAATGTTGAGTCTGATGAATGGAGTCTTGAGGTTCTCTGATGAAGCCCCGACATGTTTGCGTAAATGCTGTTTGTATATCCCAACGAGCTTCTTCATGGTACCTCTGGCGGTTGTCATGGGACGAGCATCAACCGAGATGAAGTATCCTTTTCCCGCTATCGCAGCTGGTTTCGCGCCGGGCTTCGGCATGAAAGCCTCAAGGCGGAGAATAGAGGCCGGAGTGTCTGGCCTGCTCCGCGTCGCCCCGCCCTCCAAGGTGTTGCCACTATATGTCTTCTAGACACATTGAGAAACGAGCTCGTTGCCGAAGACTTGGAGAACTGCTTCCCTGACGTCGGCCCCAGCAGTGGAAGCATAAGACCAAGAGAGTTTGTGGTTGCTTTGAATCTTCAACGAGAGTCTGATCCGAGGTCTTGTCAGAGCATACGTGAAAAGCAATTCTTTGATCTGGTTGTGGGCTCTCTTGCTTTCCTTGATAGCCTGCTGCCGCCGAACAGGAAATCCGGAAAAGATATCGGAGGCGTCGACTGTCGTTCCAACGGGACCGGCAACGGGCTTCTGGGCCAAGATTCCTCCCCCATTAGGATTGAGCGTGAGAAGGTTCGCAACAGGATCCTCGGCCGTCCTGGTTGTGATGGTGAGTTTCGACATGATGTTTGTGCTTGCGAGTGCGTCGCCACGGAATCCAAGCGTCTGGCCGCCCTTGAACTGAAGCTCCTCGAAAGTCCGAAGCTTGCTGGTGTGTGATCGCCGGCCAAGGGCATCGAAGTCTTCGGAATCGATACCAAGTCCATTATCTCGGACCTGGATCTTGTCGACGGCATTGGCCGAGACGGTGATTTCGATGCTAGTTGCGCCGGCGTCGATGGAGTTGTCAACGAGCTCCTTGACGAGCGATACAGGGGTCACGATGACAACGGAAGAGCCTAGACGGCGTACAGTCGTCAGAGGAAGCCGAGTAATTGGCATGGTGATCGAAAACGAAGGAGAGAGGTCTAATTGATCGAAATGGTGTACATGGACGAGAAGCTAACCCCAAGCGGGTTCGCTCTCGATTGGTATTGTGAAAGCCAGGGTTTTCGATCGCAGATCGCGCCTCTGAGATGCACGATAAGTGAAAAGATCAATTTCAGTGAAACATGGGAGTTTCTGCAGTTGGCCCAGAGAGAGGGCATTAGGAGGGAGGGGAAAGAAGAGGGAAAGGCAGGAACCATGTAAGTGAAGCAAGTCGAGTACTCTTTCCAAGAATGGAAATGGCGAATGGGCACTGCCAGCTTCAAGCCTCTGCACCTGGCACCAGCCGGGATGACCGCGGCCTGACCTTGCTTCCCATCCCGCTGGAGACGGATGCAGCTTGCAGCTCCCTTGCTGCGCATGTTTCCTCCACTTGCTGCAGGGTTCACACCTAGCAAGATCCAAGAGAGCGCCAAAGCCCCGCAGCTGTTTCTTCCCAGGCACGCAACACCTCAAACCGCATGCCCCGCATCGCAAGGTCCCGTTCCGCCTTCTCGTTCCCTCCCGCCCTGAGAGCACGCAAGGCACGCACCCGAACACCGAGCAGTCAGCCGGCCCGCCCAATTCATAAGCACACAGACGTCGGTAGCTCCCAGCTGTCATCACCCCCCCCCTTCCGCATCATCCACCCCGCCATAGAAGCTACCTTGCTTCCTTCTCTTAACCACGCAATCCGGTACATTCGACTTGAACACCACCACCAACACCACCACACCTGTCTGCATACTATACCCACGGCATCTCTTAAACTCATCTTCTCGAACACCTCCTGACCAAAATGTCCGGCATCAAGGGACCGTCCCCCCAGGAGCACGACGGCAGCGCCCTGCGCATCGGTATTGTCCACGCCCGCTGGAACCCGACCATCATCGAGCCCCTCGTTCAGGGCGCCAAGGAGAAGCTGCTCGGCTGCGGTGTCAAGGAGTCCAACATCGTCGTTCAGTCTGTCCCGGGATCCTGGGAGCTCCCCTTCGCTGTGCAGAGGTAAGCTCAAGCCCTTGCCCCTTCCCCTACCCAAGGATCCATCCCTCTTCGGTCGCATTGAGCCTGCGCGAAATGTATGCGCGAAAACATTGTCCAACCCAATAGGGCCTGCCGCTGATATGCTTCTTCCCTCAAGGCTTTTCTCCGCCTCCCAAGTCCAATCAGCCCAAGCTGGCTCCGGTTCCTCCGCCGGTGACCTTCTCGGCGCCTCAACCACAGACCTGACTTCCCTCCCCACCGAAACATCTGGCGGCCCCTTCGACGCCATCATCGCCGTCGGCGTCCTCATCAAGGGCGAGACCATGCATTTCGAGTACATCGCCGACGCTGTGTCTCACGGCCTTATGCGCGTACAGCTCGACACCGGTGTACCGGTCATCTTTGGCGTTCTCACCGTCCTGAACGACGAGCAGGCCCAGGCCCGCGCTGGTATCACCTCCGGTGGCCACAACCACGGCGAGGATTGGGGTCTTGCTGCGGTCGAATTGGGCGTCAAGCGTAAGGCTTGGACCGCGGGCAAGATTGAGTAAGTCTGGCTCTTTTTGTTGCATGCACCTCTTTGAGCGGACACTATTGTAGACGACGGATACCAGCTTAGGAAGAAGAAGAAAAAAAAAAGAGGAGGAAAAAACAAGGCACAAATTCCCAAAAGGGGTATTCGCTACCACACATCATGGGCAGAAATCCACCCAACACATTACCTGTTAGGCCAAGAGAAATATTGCTACCTCACTTCGATCTGATTGACAGGGACGTGGCATCAATCATAGACGGCGCCGACTGCATTGAGACCCGCGATCGAGAAGAGATATGTGCCTCGAGGGTTCTCCAACATTACTAGATTATTGCACCAAGAGCTGTCTATCATGACTTTGAGTATTGAACAATCCGAGCCTTTCCATCTGCTCTTTCACTCCCACAACGACGCCTGAAAAAGATGATCCCTTAAAAAGTATACACAAGGGTAAGGTGTGTCTCGAGAGGCTCACACGTCTCAAAAATGGCAAAACCCTAGACACAGTCCCGTATGAGGAGCGTGGCTTGCGGTTATGTCGTATATGTCCAGTCTTTTTGTTTTTCCATGCTCCCACCCATGAAGCCTCGGTCTCGTCCTCCTTTTTCTCTTGCATTTCCCCATGTCCGTTACGAAATTAAAGCTCCGATTTCGCTGCCAATGCTCTTCTTCGTCTTCCACAGAGAGCGCTTCTTCTCCTTCTTGGCCTTCATGGCGGCCCATCCTTCCTCGTCATCATCGTCAGAGTTGCTGCTCGCCTTCTGCAGCGTGGTCTTGGTCTCCTGCTGGTGTTGCTGGTGCTGCATCACCTTGGGCGGTTCGTCCCAGCCCCTAGCGCCCGACATTACGGACATGCGCCGACCTGAGTCCAAGGGTGCGGGAGCCTGCGTCACTGGTCTGTAACGCCCTGGTAAGCCCACGTTGCTTCGCTCCGAGGGTGCTATCGAGGGGGCATACCCAAGGCCTGGGGCGTGAATGCTGGGCGCATACCCGCCGCCGCCGCCCATGCCTCCGTGAATGGATGGGGGGTAGCCACCTCCGGGTTGGATCCACGAAGCCGAGCTGGGTTGCACCATGCTCATGGTTCTGGAGCGGGAATCGAGTCCGGGGGGCTCGAGCATAGAGTCGCCAAAGTAGGACTGTCGCTGGCTGTCGTTCATCGACGGCGTCATGACATGGCTCATCGGCCTCGCCATGCCATTGTTCATGTTCATCTGGTTTGGCGTAGCCATCATCTGCATGAACTGCATCTGCATCTGCATAAACTGCTGCATCTGCTGAGTCATTTGGATCTGAGCCTGGTCTCCTGGAGTGAGCATCATCTGGGGCATCTGGGGCATTTGAGGCATCTGCTGTATCTGGGGCATTCCGCCCATGCCCATGCCAGCCATCTGGCCCATGCCGCCGTTCATACCGTTCATGTTGCTGTACATCATCTGCGGCGGGACTGCTGCGGCAGGGTCGACCGGGGCACCAGTGAAAGGATTGACATTTTGTGCCTCAATGTTGGGGCTGCCTCTACGCAGGGCCCGAGATCGCTCCTCGCTGGCAATAACTCCAACAAGGCCGCCCATGGGAACAGCCGGGGCCGCGCCAGGAGCCGGCGAGCCACCACCGAAAGTCAGAGATTCGCGTGGGGGTGCGTTGATCAGGCCGGCACCCAGGAAAGGATCCTGTGGCAGCTTCCGTGCAAAGGCGGGGAGATGGCCACCGCTAGTTCCTCTTGGACCGGTGCCCTCACCCATGCTTGACCCGGGGCGCTGAGGCTGAGGGGGCTGAGACTGGACCGAAGATCTCAGGTCAGGGTTCGATGCCATGTTCATGAGGCGAGTGGGTGGCTTGTTCTTGTTCGGGAACCCGTGGGCGGCCAATATGGCGAGTGGCACTTCTTCGTCCTCCTCTTCGGATGCGTCTGACTTGCCGGTCAATGGGCCCGGGGGAATGGCGAGGTTGGGGGTGCTGAGGGACATTGACAGGCTGGGACGAGCAGCATGTTCGGATGGAAGGTTTGGCTGCTCGCCAGTCACCTTCATCATTTGTTGTCGATAGACCGCCATGTGCGCCTCCTGCTTCCTCCTCTGCTTGGCAGCCAACTTCGCCTTCTCCATGTCGTCTTCATCATCTTCGTACTGGTCGTCATCGTCATCTCGGCTTTCGTTGGATGCCTTCACGGTTTCGCTGACGCTGTCCCGACGTTCCTTGTCTTTGCGGTATTTCTCGAACTCGGCGGGAGTCATGACCTTGTTTCGAGGCGGGCTCGGGTTGCTGCCGCTGCCAGAGCTGTAGTGGTGCGTGGGCTTGGGTGGGCGAGCCGTGCTATTTTCAAACATGTTCTCCTCTTCCTTTTTACTGTCCGTCTCATCCCATCCTGTCGAGAATGTGTCTTCATTTCTGCGGAACCTTCCTTGTGGAGATGGGTTGCTGGGTTGACTGTTGCCAAGGAAGCGGCTGGCAGCCAGTGAGTCCTTCAACAAGTTCGCGTCTTCATCCTCCACGATATCAGACGGTACGTTGTTGCGGAAGGCGAGCGGTGAGCCATGACGAGGAACTGGTGGCGGTGGTACGGATGTGCGGTCAGTATTGGTGGGAGAGCCGGGGCCGGAGCGAAACATGTTGTCGTCGTGTAGAAGGTTATCGTTGGAGTGCTGGCTGCTCCATGAGTAAGGGGAGGCCTCAACTTTGATGGACTTGTCAATCTTGATGGGTGAAGGTTGAGGTTGGTTGACACGGTTGGTGGTGAGGGAGCGAGGTCCCATGTTGGACTTGTCGTTTCCGTTTAGCGTCATTTGGCTAGCTCTTTTGTCGAATCCGGACCCCTTGAACATATTACCAAAGTCACTGCCAAAATTGAGGTTGAATTCCTCCTCGCTAAGCTTAGGAGGAGTGGCTGTGCTGGCTGTGGAAGCTGTGAGGCCTCTAGGTCTGCGGCTGGAGTCGTCCTCCAGTGCCTGGGAGGGCAAGGGCGGCGGAGGCAGAGGATGTTCGTCAACGGAAGAGACGGAGGCTTGGTTCTTCTTCTGACCGCCAAAGGAAAAGGTCCTGCCGGCTTTGCTGAGGAATCCGCCGGAACTATGCTTTGGAGGAGGAGGCGGCAGGTCGGTATGAGATTTCCTAATCGAATTTCTCCATTCTTCCTGAGGGCCTTGGGCACCGAGGTCAGCCGAAGACGGTGTGGTCGAGACGTTGCTGTGGCGCGACGAGGTGTCTGTCGAAGTTGTTTTCGTGGTATTGGATGACCCACTTCCCCTTAAGCTGAGTCAGTCGACGTTAGACACAATCCTTGCCTTGGCCCTGAAATGAATTGCAGACTAGGGGGGGAGAGAGAGGACCACCAGCCGATGGCCAACAGCCCAGGAATTCACCGCTGGGTCCGAGACATGCCGCTATTGAATGCATGCCAGGCACAGTTACTATTTTTTTTTTCGTCCCCTTCTCTTTCCTTTCCCTCTTCCCTTTCCTCCGCTCGGACTCTTTTCTTTCTGCACTCTCTCTGTCTCCCACGCCTTGTTGCTTCTTGCCAGGGCCGAGAATGTGTGTCTGGAAATGGAATGGGGCAAGGAGACGGGGTGGATGCACATACCGATTGTTCTTCACGTCTGCAAACATGTTGTCCTCCAAAGACAGGTCGTTGTAGTGTTTGGGCGGAATCGCTGTTGTTGCCGCCTTGAGCAGTCTGTGTCCGCCGTCAAACGACTTATTGCCTCCAACCTCGGTTCTCTCCAGTACACGGAAGGAGGACTGCTGTTGCTGCTGATCCCCTGTTGTTACCGGCCCATGTTGGAGGAACTCCTCGGAGTTGACGGTCGATCGCCGCCTGCCAAAAGCGACGGAGAATCTAGGCATAGAGAGCGACGGCAAATCGTAGATCCCCGGCGGGATTTTAATCGGCGCGCATCTACGCGCGGGGGTCGATAGGAGACGGAGGGCCGTTCGGGATGGAACTCCTCGGGTGGTTGCCCTTCGCTCGCTTGGGAGTCGGAACCGTTGTCAACAAAAATAAAATAAAATAAATCACGATACGAGGCGGGTCAGCTGATAGGGGATGACGACAGAAAAGCTGAGACTCGGGTCGGCTTTGTTGTGGCTCGTGTCAGTGGGCGCTGCGGAGCGTGATACGGTAGGATGATAAGCGAGAAGATGCTGCGCGGGCGAAGGAACCCAAGTGTCAGCTATGAATGCAAAGGGCCTTGTGTTCTTGTGAATGTCTGTCCGCCTGTCTTGATTGTCTCGCTCTGCCGGATTGGATGTATGGAGGTGAGGCAAGAGAGGTGTTGTGAGAGTGTATGCGGATGAAATTCTGTCTCTGCGACCCAGCGTGGGCCCAGGAAACGGGGAGTGAAGGTGGTAGGTATTTCGGCAGGGTGGCCACCGACAGCCTTAGCGATGGACCAGACCCGACAGTGGTCGATTCTCCCGCGTGCGCTTCGTGTTTGACTGTCGCGAATCGAAAGGGGGAAACGACAAATATGTAATGGGTCGTGGTCCAAAGGGCTAGAGGGCTGAAAGCCGTGGTGGAATGAGGCATGACGAGAGGAATGGGCCAACGACTTACCGAAGGGGGTCTGCAACGAGCCAACACAGGTCGTAGGACGAAACGAAGAGTCGGCGGAACGACAAGACGAGATGAGCCGGTGACGGGTTGGATATTAGTCTATACTGCGCGCAAAGAGCGTGTGCGATGATGCGATAGGAAGCGATGCGATGCGATGCCAGGGCGTAAAATCAAAAGGCGTATGATCTCATCCAGAACTTTTTTTTTATCCAGAAGCAAATAAAAAAAAAGATGCAACAAGGTGAGAGAGAGTTGGGCCCAGACCGGAGCGGACTACAAGGCCAGAGACGAGGATAAGCAAGTAAGCACGCGGGCTTGACTAGGGGATGTGGGATGGAAATGGGGTAATTAGGATATGAAGAACGAATGAAAGGGATAAGAACAGCTCGAGTCGTGGGCCGGATGGGCGCGATACGAAGGGATATGCAGCAAATGATGACAGCAACAACGAGGGTCGACGAAGCAGACGACGGGAGGTTGGAGCGAACGAGGGGGAATGTGGAAAGGAGGAGGAGGAGCAAGAGGAGGCGATCCGATCAGTAAGTAGGCACAGCAAGGAACAGAAAGAGGGTATCCGTACGCAGTACTATGTACATGGGCCGTAGTAAAGTGGACTGCAAGGTCAGCTAAGGCAGGCCGAGCATCAGCAGGGGATGTCGGGAAGAGGATGGGGCACGGGGGTGGATGATGGATGGGTTGTTGGAGGGGGGAAGAGAAGGAGGAGGAGGAGGAGAAGAAGAAGAAGTCTTTCTGTCTGTCTGTTGACCCTGACTCTCGGCGTCGCGTCTCTCTTTTGACTTGAGGCTTGAGGCTTGAGGCTTCAGCCTGGCCAAGTCAATCTGATCTGATCTTCTTCTGCTCACGTAGACACGATAGGTACGAGTGAATGCTCTGTCAACGCACTTCCATTTGAGGGTGGAGAGATCAAGCAATCAACACTTCAGTAGTTGTTGCTCTGGAGAAGACGTGCCAGGCCAACAGGGCAGGGCAGGGCCTTCTGTCGACGTCCACGTTCTCCAAAGACCAGAACCATCCACCAATGACCACTACTTCGTGGCCGGCCCGCCGACAACATGCATTCTCATGCGCCTTGAGGTGTGCCTCTGCCTGCCTCTGTCCCTTTTTTCTTAGTGTCTGTCCTTCCTTGGTACGCAATGCTAAAAAATCTTTGGGTCCAGGGGCTCAGGGTCAAGGGGGGGAGGGGGGTGTGGGTGGAGAATGGTGGACAAGGGGAGGGATGCTTGAAAGTTGACGGCATGGCATGGATGGAGGCATGGTAAGGCACCTAGGTATGGTATGGGATGGCCCGGAGACAATCAGCCAGCTCAACCACACGGTGGGCCGGGCGATGCGGTCGGTGGTTTGCAGCTGCTATGCTGAACTCTGATCATGAGCGCAGACTATTCGTGCTATGCAGTATCCGTAGATGAGCAACAGACAGAGACAGAGCGTGGAAGACCGACGGCTTCTTGACTTACTTGCTTGCTTCTTTGCCTTGGGTTGCCTCTTCAAGCTCCCCGTCCTCCGCCTCCCGTCGGCACAGCGTCGTCCAAAGTTCCGGAGGTTTTCGCCATTGTCTCTCCCTCTAGCTCGGAAAATTCGTGGGCTGGGTGACATTTCGGGCCATGAACCCTTTGACGGGGAGACTCATTCGGCCTAGTCTCGTCGTGTGCTGCTGGAACAATCACTCATTTCCCCTTTACCATGCCACCACCAATGGTACCAATAAGTAGGACTGGACTGCTTCTTACTGCGTAAGATACCCTACCCAAGGTATGTTGCACGGCGTCGTCCGCCCTCAAGGTTCCCGCCACCACGCCGTGCGGTATTCGTACTTTAGCATGCAGCCCCGCCATCTCGTCCCATGCGGTGCTGCTTGCTGCACCGGGCCACCCTGCCCAGCCTCCCGTCCTGCAAGCTTTCCCGCCTCCGTTCTTTGGCCCTGCTGCGAAAACCTGTTGACATCGGCTGAACCCTGCAGCCGGAGATGTTCAGACAACACCAGCAAGCTTTACGACTAACTTGGGCAAATTGAACTTTGAATGGAAGAGCAAATCCCAGCGGACTGCCTCACGTTCTGGCTGTGTGTGCGTGTGTGCGGCGTAGGGCGAGCATCCTGGTCGGTCAATAGGGAAGGAAGCCTGGACGACCTCGTACCGGCGGCAACGTCGGTCGCGAGGCCGGGCGTTGTGAAATTGGACCTCGGAGCTGCCGCCGCCTTCAACGAATACATACTTACCCGTACACCGTAAAGATCCAAAATTGTAGGTACGGATTGACGCTGAAGACTCACATAAACTAGCCAAATCCAACGGCGGCCAGTGACAACCGCGTCCGTTGAACAGTGTGCCATGTCTCATAGTTTCTTTTCTTTTGCTCCGTTGGGCTGCACGCCTTGCCTATGGTGCCTGTGCCTGTGGCTGCGAACGAAGCCATGTGCCGGGAAATGAATGGCTGGTTGCGTGTGAACGCCAGGCCAGCCTGCGACCTTGGATCACCGCCACTCTTTGAGGCTTGTTGCTGTTGCTATTGCTGATGTCTGTCTGCTGTGGTCGTGACAGAATGGCGAAATGTTTAGACGCGAATCGCGATTAGACCTCAGCTCGGCCGTTCTCAGCGCTCGCAGAAACTCGAGATCTGGGGCGCGCCGTTGACGCAAGACCGACTGTCGATTGAACGGCGGGAGTTCAGCCAGGGCCGAGCGGGCCTGCGTGGAAGGTAGGTAATTCCCCTGTCTCCGCGCTCCGTGGGCAATTTTCTAGGTATCAAGTAAGTACAAATGCAGCCTTTTGGCCTTTAGGCTGCGTTGACCGAAGATGTCCAGCCCGAGAAGCACGGCGGGAGAAGGAGGAGGCACAAACGGAGCGGGCTTGGTTGCTTCTTCTGTCCTGTGCAATCTGTTCTTCCCGGCTGTAGCCCTGGTGATCTCGATCTGGAGGCAGCAGAGGCCATGAACCAGTCAGTAGTTTTCGGCGACGGTTTATTCCCATGAAGAGCCTCACAGAGAGTGACTCAGGGAAGTATCCAATACAACCAACGACCAACTTTGCAGGCCGCCCGCCCACCTCAGAAAAGCCAGCTACGCAGTAGTTCGGTCAAATGCGACACGCGAATCAAAAGAGAGCACAGGACGATGGCTCCAGGGGGCTCTAGCGCAGCGCTACCTGCTCGTAGCCCCAGAAGGACTCGCCGATAATCCTGGAGCTTGAATAGTGGCACCTGTTTGTTCCATGCGTGAAGTGGACCAGAAGCTCACAACTGCAACGCTCGCCTGGCTGTGCCTAAGTAAGGTATCAGGAAGGCATGGTGTTGTTACATGCAAAGCAACAGAGGCAATGACGCATTGGACCTCCAGATGTTAGCAGGTGGATGAATCATAAGGTAGTGCGTGCTGCGGGTTCCATGTTTTTGCACGAACTTGACTCGGAAAGTGGCTATTGATCAGTGATATATGATGTGACGCGATGCGATGCGATGCGATGCGATGCGACGCGGTGCGGTGCGGTGCGATACGATGGCTACAGTACTATAAGTGCGTTCCCTGAGGTGCCTTATGTAACTCGCCTTGCGGGCACGGCAAGCATGTGGGAAGGAACGACGCGGCGACTGGACCACGCTGCCTTCCATCGCTGAGCAAGCAGGTGGCCAAGCAGCGTGGACCTCCGGCTTCATCGCGCGCTAAAAGACACTGTACCTGGAACGAAACAACACACACAACCTCTCTCCACCCTGGCACTTCCAGTCCATCAGGTGGGCTTTGCCGCCGACCCATTCCAGATTTCTATTTTCCGCACACACTGCCTCGTATCGCATATTTGGACCATCTCAACGGATATCCCCCAACCCAGAAAAAAAACCTGCAAGAAGCAAAGTGATTGACGCCGCTCCAGAGTCTGACAGGAAGCCAAGCCCGGCGCCTCGACAAACTGCCGACCTCCTCCAACTCAGCCTGAGTACCTTAGCTTAGGTCTCGGTGATTCGGGCGGGAGTCACGGTCTTTTCCACAGAAAAGTGGTCCAAGTAAGGTAGGTAAACAAACTGAGGTCGTGGTGCGTACGGATAAGTGACTGCAGTCTGCACCAACGTGACTCTGCAATGCATCCACCCGTACGATGCCACTGGCTAGGGTTTCTGGGCGTCTCGTCTGTTCTGTTCACGTGTCGTGTTGCGTTGCGAACCCCAGCTACAGTCTGGTCGCATCCTCCTCATCCGTCACCCTTCGACCCGACCATGGCATTTCTCTGGGACCGCGTCCAAGGAAGACATGCAACCAAACACCGCAACTTGGAAGCCATAACAATGGCATCCTCGTCAATATCAGACAGGCTTGAAGCCCCGTACGATGGATAGATACATACCGTAGGTATCCTCCTGCTAAACCGCGCTGCCTACCTACTTTGGGTTTGGCTGGCCGCATGGGCTGGTCTACCGCCCCAGCGTTTGGACAATAATTCCCATTGCACCCGACCCCATCTGGCCTCGCGAGGTATGCAATGGACGGTCAAACGGTCTCCAATTGCTGCCCCACCGCAGCCTGTCGATGGTGCCGGACCTCTCGCGTCCGTCTTTGGCGCTCTCGTGCGCTTCTGCTGGCAGGGGTCGGAGATCACAGATCTGACGATGATGCGCGGATGGTGCGCGGATGGCTCGTGAATGGACCGGAACCCCTGGCGATGCTCTGAGCTATCGTCTTGTGCCTGAGCCTAGAGCTCGAGGTGTGCAAGTGTGGTACAAATCGAGCATGGAGTTGCTTGGGTAGCGCTCCGGACCCCTGCTAGAAGGAATGGGGCCGACGCAAAATTGTTGACAGGCTCATCTACGCAGTACGGATAGCTAAGCTTGTTGGTGTATCCGTACGGACAGGTATTGTCGATTATGTGAATGTTGCCTCTGACTTTTGCACTCAAGGCCTGCAGCATTTGCAACGTGGCGAGTGCTTGCAATCGCGCACCAAACCTTTGCTTAAGCCCCTTACGGATACTTGGGTCACGTACAGAGAGTCCCAAGACCGCAGCTCGTCTCAGCATATCACGAATGAATGCCACACGGCCCGAGTGGGATCATTGATTCCCGCGGAACAGTCCGGAGCCCGGAAGTTCTTGGTACGGGACGGGAATGGATCGTGCTGGGCTTGAGGGAGTGAGATGCGCTAAAGAATACGTAGAGCTTGGGTTTTCTGACCTCTTAAACATTTTCGCGCAATAGATCCATCCGTTAGCAGAATGTGCCTCCTACGGGGCGACGCCGTTCGCAAAACCATTCCTCATTCCCCTTGTCTCTCTGTCAATACTGTCGTGGCCATGTAGGCTGGTCCGGTGCGAATGAATAGCGTCTTGGGGGGATAACCTCCGCTGTTGCCTGTCCTTCAGTCAAGTAACTGGGTTCCATTGGGTATACATGGGCAGAATGCTCCGAATCGTCCGCTTCACTTGACATCGGTATTTCCCGTGGCAGTTCAGTTGATCGTTTGCCCACGAATACGGGCGGCCCTCCGGAACATCCGCATGTATTTCACAACTTCATCTGCTGTGCTCTGGAGCACGTCGGAGCCTGATGCATCCTTCGCCTCGCCCATTCCGAGCCGTCTGTTGAACCTGTCGTGTCCACTGAGCTGATTGATTTGGACCTGGACGGCGCATCTACCTACTATGCAGTATGGATCAAGGCTGCCCAATGAGCAGCTGGTAAAGACAGTTCCAGATTTTCTCGGTCGGAGGCCCGTCTACGGCCCGGGCAGCGGCCCCAGCCCGGCCGCTCCAACTTCGCTGACGGACGAGCCAATCGCGGGGCTCCCCCGCTACCCCTCAGGACCGCCGATTTTTTTTTCCCCCCCTTCCTCACGTTGAGCAATCCAACCCGGAAGTATCTCCCAGTACGACGACACACAACGCCGCGGAGCCACCGAGTAACCCTAGGCCCAAGACCCAAGAAGCCGGAGAGACAGTCACAAAGGCCTAGCTTTATCCTACATTCTTAGTCAAAGACTCAAATCGACTGTCGTCGTACTCCGCATCTCACCAATTCGTCTTGGCCATCAGTTGTTATTGGTGCCCCTACACAAACCACCCTCTCCTCAGCCTCGTCTACTTCACCATGGCTGCGAACGACGCCCAGACTTGCCGCATCTCCATTCTGTGTTCGGGGAGCGGGACAAATCTGCAGGCCATTATTGATGCTGTTCAGAATGGCCAGATTTCCAATAGCAAGATCATCAAAGTCATTGTCAATCGTGCAAAGGCTTTCTCAGTGCAAAGGGCAAAGGACGCCGGCATCCCTCACGATTACTTCAATCTCGTCTCTCAAGGTTTCGTGGCGAAGGGCGAGAAGGACGAGGCCAAGCTGAAAGCGGGCCGCGCTCGCTACGATGCCGAGTTGGCTCAGAAAGTCCTCGGGGACAAGCCCGATCTTGTCGTTCTCGCGGGCTGGATGCAGTACGTGAATATCCATCTCCGAGTAGGCTGGATTGTTGCGGAGCGATGCTGACTAGTCCTCCAGCGTCTTCAGCGAGCCATTTCTGGACCCGCTCGCCGCGGCTGGCATTCCGGTGATAAACCTTCGTATGTTACCTCTCGACATCAGGTATTTAACGTTTGCTGACCATGGCGATAGACCCAGCGCTGCCCGGTACGTTACTTCTCGTTTGTTGTCATCTTGACGGACTGGAGTAACTGCGGTCGGGTGCTTGCTAACGTCTTCCTAAAGGCCGTTACGATGGCGCCAACGCGTACGTCACTTGGCACCTTTCAATCACACACCGCAAACAAACTGACTCTCTCTCAGTATTGGCAGGGCATACGAAGATTTCAAGGCTGGTAAATTGGAGAACAACCGAACGGGTGCCATGTAAGAACCCCGAGTGGTGCCCCAAAGAGACCCCAGCTGTTGACCAAGGTTTCGAAGGATTCACTATGTGATCGCCCAGGTTGATCGTGGTGAGCCTATCCTGGTTCAAGAGGTTGAAGTCCTCCGAACCGACAAATTGGAAGACCTCGAGAAGAGGTAGTGTACTCCCACAACAACGTCTTCAACCATTCCATTCGACTCACTAGCAGCAGGATGCACGATGTTGAGCATGACATCATCGTCAAGGCCACAGCTCAAGTCTCGCAAGAAGTTTTGGCCAAGAAGCAGCAGAAAAAGCAGTAAAGTCAGCTATCCGCGCCGAAGGTAGGGGAGAGCCGAGAAGGGCGTTGCGAACAAGCGTCCCATCAAGACTGAAACACGAGCAGGTAGGCCAGTGCGCACGAGGCGCATCAGCAGTATTGTGGAAGTGCCCTTCATTTACCTCTCTTTCTTGCGGGTTGGTTCAGATATGAGATGGATGTATTTCTGGTCACCACAAGGTTCACACTCCGACGATGAGCAAAGCTACTTCCTTGGTCGCACATCATGATTGTGTTGCCTCTGTTCTGACATACCAGCCAGTCAAGTCCTCGACTGGTCTTTGGGTTAGTAATTTAAGCACAAGGTCAGCTTGAAAGGGAGGGAGAGTTGACATCGGCCAGGTTCATTCAATCGGGCAAAGACCCAATGACACAGGAACATATCGTATGAATGATAGGAGAGGAGGCCAACGTAGAAGCACAAACAACGTGGACTTCAGCAGATAGAGATCGTCCCCTGTCTGCTTCACTCGATGAGAACTGACATGCGGCAATGAAAGCAGTGGTCAAGCCAAGGGACAATCGTGATCACTGTAGAAGATGAAATCAATACCCAGCTTTCTCCTGGTTGCGATGCATCGCTGTAGATGGAGGGAAGCGACATCGATTGCCGAAGACCTGAAGGTGGATGGTTGAAGGCATCCACGCGTTTGTGAATGCAGCCGGCAGTGGCGATGGAAGTAATGAGGATGATGACAATAATGATATGAAGAATAACGACGACAGCAAGGGCTCCAAGCATGACAAGTTGCCAAAATATACAATTTGGGACGACCGCAGTGACTATCTCACACGGCCACAGCAATGAGACAATCAAAAGCAACATTAGCCGCCATCCAAGCCCATGCTGCCGATGATGTAGTTCAAGCTCGATCGGCTCGGAATCCCATCTCGCATGTGAGGGAAGCAGCAACCAATGCCGAGGCGAATCACTGTGCGGGTCGGATGAGAAAGACCAGTCGGTTTTGTCTGCGAGGGAGTCGGAGCCGGTTGAGGGGCATTAGCAAATGACGACTTCGCCAAAAGTTGCTGAAAGGAGTTGTCGAAGACTTGCGGCTCTGCCGTTTTCTGCAGGTTTGCAAGCAGGGGGACCACAGAAAAAAACAACAAAAAAAAACAACAAAACGACGTCGACATCTGTAGGAGCCGACCAGAGCCAATGGCAGGTGCAGAATAGACAGAATAGAGTATCCAAGCCGAGATGGGGCTTGGACACGAAGGGTTTTCTTTGGCTAGGTACCTAGGTAGGTTGACAAAGTCACGGGTGACAAGTTGCAAGGTTGGTTGCATTTGTTCTATGAAACATTGGTTGGCCATGTTGACCTGGAAGAAACGACTCCAGTCATTCGAGACTCTTGGATTTGCACGTCAATTCACTCTACGCGATGCCGACGAGCTGCGCCTCGCACAAGAGTGTCACGAAGGGGTAAAGGGGAGGGGAAAAGAGGAGCAAAAGCAAACAGTTGTCGTTTGATCCAATCTTGGCGTCGAGTAGAGCTTCCGTTTCTTCAGATCTGTGCATTCAGAATTCGGACTACTTAGTCAGGTCGGCTTCCTCATTACAGGCAGACGAGCCGTGATGGAGGGACCGTTCTCAAGGCTCGCCTTACAACCGCAGCCGGGGCGTCAAGCAGGTTATGCGATGAAGTCACGAAACCCGGCAGCCCAAAGGTCCAACCCAGTCTGTCTAGGAGAGAGAGAGAGAGAGAGACGGGGAGAGGGAGGCGAGATTTCTAATGTTTTCGAGGAGGGGCTCTACACACAGGCTCTCCAGTGGACATTGCGGAGAGCCGACACCGGCTGAAATGGCAACTTGGCGCGAGGTGAGGGTCCCGGACGGTGGACTTCCTATTTGCTCTAGCTGCTGGATCTGGAAACTAATTTGCTTGAGTGGGAATGGTGTGTGGGTGCGCGGGCAAACCTTGAGTGTGTGGACATGTTGAGCAGATATTACCGCGAAAGACAATGCGGTAGGCACGCAGACAGCTAAAGAGACAGAGAGAACGAGATACAAGGGAAAAAAAAAACAAAAAAAAAAAACAGAGGCAGCACGCGTAGAAACCTAGGTAGGCAGAGTACCTAGATAGGCAGAGAGAGCTACCCATGGCGCAGCGACAGCTTAAAACGCCAGCAGCCCACCCCTTCGATACAACATTAGTCGGGTCTGCTAGAGCCCGTGGCGTCGAGCTCCCCAAGCGTCCCTTGCCGTCGAATCACAGCCCCCCGGGAAGGTTGAGAAGCTCCAGACGAGGCGAGCTCTGAGTCCCGTCCTTTGCTCGGCGCACGGCGCACGGAGTAAGGTAACGAAGGAAGGGATCTTAGGTACCATACCATACCTTACCGTATCGTACCGTACCTCACCATGCATGCATATTGGACCTGAAAGTCTTGGCTCTCGTCTCTGCTCCTCCTCAGACCCTCCGGGCCCATCTTCATCATCGCGGCGCGTCTCCCCCACGAGGTTATCAATCTCATCTATTAGCCTCGCCTCTCCCTCATCTAGCGCCCGGTTAGAATTTCTCTTTTCTCTCTTCCTCTCTCTTCTTCCTTCTCTTTTCCTCCTCCTCTTATCCACCCCTAATTTCGCTCCAGTCGCCGCCGCCTCCAATCCGTCGTCATACTACTACTTACTTACCGTCACTGCCACTGCCACTGCCACTACCACTACGCACCTGTTGGCTCCCTACTTGCTCAATTGCTGTCGCCGCCAACATGAGCTCGCCCCAGCAGCAGCCTCATGGCTCCGGCAGCCCTCGAGTGGGTTCCTTCAAGCGTCCTTCCGTCCTCAACCCCGATCACGATCCCTATCCCTTGACCACAAGAGGCAGCGGCGCCTTGGTCACTCTCATCAGGAACCGCTCCTCGGCCACTCTGCGCGAATCTCTCAAGAGCCCGGCCTACCATCAGCTGGGCCACGATGAGGACGATCACGAGGGCCAGTCGCTGCTGGGCTTCCTCCACAGGGACTCGGACGACGACCACCGCCGCTCCGCCGCCGAGGAGCGCCGACTGAGCGAGATCATCTTTGGCCCTCAGATGAGGAGTATGCGCCTTATCGGAAACAGCAACCCGCGCTATCAATGGGAACGCTACTGGAAGACCGAGGCCGAGCTCCAGGCCATGTCAAAGCCTATGTGAGTGTGTGCCATGGCTGCCTACCTACAGACCTACCTACCTTACCGTACCTTACCTCGCGATGCTCATGTCTGCCGCCAATGCACCTTGCCCACGTCCAAACACCACCAATTCGTAGAGACACAAAACCGTCCGTATCGAATCGAATGCTGACTGACGCCTCCGGCAACTGCCCAAAGACGCGAATATTACGAGAGAAACAATGACCTCATTCGCATGTACCTCTACATCGACCAGCTTCTGGATTCCTCAGTACCCCACGATCTGCTCAACGAGTACCACCAAGCTCTGGACGCCTCAGCATTTCGCCCGGTTGACGTGCCCCAAACCATCACCGAGGAGTCGCCAACTCCTACCTCCCCTCCGTCGCGCGGTGGCCCCGGCTATGGCAGCACTGCTTCAGTCCAAAACAGCAGCACGGAGCACAGCAGTTCGGCAAACAGCATTCAGCAAAAGGTAAAACGCACGCCAAAGGACATTTTTCGGCCCACCGAGTCCACCCCACTCCTAACGCTCAACGGCCACGACGAGGAGGAAGGTTTAGCCGAAGACGCAGATGCCCCCAAGCCCGAAATTCCCTGGCTCGAGGATGCCGATGTCGACAGCAGTGACCCCATCGTCACCCTCGCCATTTGGGTCAATTTCATTGCCAACGGCATCTTGCTGTTGGGAAAGATCATTGTCGTCTTCTCCGTCCCCTCCGTCTCCGTTCTCGCCAGCTTGGTCGACGCCGTTCTCGATTTCCTCAGCACCGCCATCGTGTGGACCACAACTAGACTCATTGCTGCCAGCCAAAATGACCAGCACTCGTACCCTGTTGGTAGACGACGGTGAGTCTCAATTTTCTTTTCGATACCATAATTACCCCTTCTTTGTCATCACCCTCGTTCGCCTCCGCGTTACATCCCGCGAGACGTGTGCTGACTCGTTCCAGTCTCGAGCCTCTTGGCGTTCTGGTCTTCTCCATCGTCATGGTCACATCGTTCTGCCAGGTCGCTCTTGAAGCCATCCAACGCCTCATGTCGCCTGAACACGAAATCATCCAATTGTAAGTCGCATCCACTGCTACGGTTCTCCAGCTCCGCTCCGCCGCTGTGCGACCGCTAACCATTCGGGAATACACAGAGGCATTCCGGCCATCGCCATCATGGTTGGGACCGTCGTCATCAAGGGCCTGTGCTGGCTCTGGTGCCGTGTGATCAAGAACTCCAGCGTTCGAGCCCTGTGAGTTGTGTTGCCGCCCCTCCTTTGTCGCAACGTTGTTTACGTTGCCGACTCCTGATCGGCACATCTTTGAACTGGGGTTACTAACAATATACGCAGGGCGGACGATGCCATGACCGATGTCATTTTCAACACTGGCTCCATCCTTTTCCCCATCGTCGGCTTCTATGCCAAGATATGGTGGCTGGATGCTCTCGGCGGTCTTTTGCTTTCCGCTGTCGTAATTTTCAATTGGAGCCAAACTTCAATGCACCACGTTCGCAACCTGACGGGTTTCTCGGCCACTTCGGACGAAAGAAACCTCTGTGCGTACATGATTTCTCTTTGCTCTCTATTCCCTGCTACCCCTGTCGTTTCGTCTCCCCACAGTTGCTATAATTGGACCCTGCTATACCTCACCCATGCCAACCCCCTAAGTTTCCCGTTTGTTTGTTGCTCATTCCCGCCTTTGCGCGTTTCCTTTGCAGCCATCCACTGCTGCAGCTGGATCTCGGGCATGTGGGCGGCGGCAATCCTACTGATCTTCAGACTTCATGGTCGTTCTGTCGGTGGCCAGGGCTGACCTAAGACAACAGTGCTCTACCTTACCATGCGCTTCGCAACGTCCATCAGGCAGATCCAAAA